AAACTGTTTTATTGACTATTGAAAGACTATGGATCTTTAAAAAAATCTAGGGGCCCCAAGAGATAGGGTAGACCTAATTTCTTCATTGACATTGCATATGGTCCCCTGAGCACTGCCTGAAGTGATCCTTGAACCCAGAGCCAGGAAAAATTCCTGAGCACCACTGGGTATGGACACTTCTCTTTCCCTAAAAAAAAAAAGAAGTTTTAGGCTGAAGAAATAGTACAGGAGGTGGGGAACTTTTCTTGTATGTGGTTGTGTCAGCTGTGGCCCTCGTTTAAATCCAAGCACCACATATGATCCCCTCAATACCACCGCCAGGGGTTACTCCTGAACACAGACACAATTGCTCATCTACTGATCACTGTTGGGGATGGCTCAAACCCTGCCATCCCCAAATCTAGGAATATCACCATTATAGGTAATTCTAATTCTAATGTGTCACAGTTCCTCTTTTATTTTATGCTAGTAGCCCTTTGGAAGTTTCAAAGCCTGTTTATGAAAAGTGAAATAACAGGCATGTAGTAATTCTTTCTTCACATGATTTGAATATCAAATTTTCACATATGAGGGAGAAGGGCATGGGGACTAGAGTTTGACCAGTCACTTCAGAAGTGCTTTCATTCACTCGGGGCCCTGTGCCATCGATGTTTTTATTTTCATGTATTAGATAAAGAACTTGAAGAATAGTGAGGTTAAGGTCACTCCAGCACTAAATTAGTTTTCTACCTTGAAACCTCAATATTCTCCTCAGGGATGTTACATCAGCCCATGGGAGAGTAAGGATAGATTCCTTTGTAATATGGACCCATATTCCTGTTTTCTCTGCTCAGCCAGCACGATGCTTATCTTTATTATTTATAAATTAGGGCAGAAGTGTTATGGAGGAGAAAATGTTATCTGGACAAAATAGTTTAATAAGGCATGTTGGTGCTTTAGAATGGAATAAAGCCTACCTAGAATGGGTACTGCAAGTGAAAGGGACTCTGGGAAGCTGTTTTTCCTGACGTTTATAATGTTTATTTATACTTTTGAAAAAAATTACATTATGGAACAAGACATACTTGACCTCTTAGATTATTCATGCCGTGGTATGTAACGATTCGTGACAGTTTAACATGGAATGTGAAGTCAGCCTTTCAGAAATGGCCCTTGGTTTTTTATTAGTGGAAATGTGTGGGCTTTTTTTTTTTTGCCTGTTCAGAGTGGTGAGAGGTGGCACTCAATGTGAGACCCTCATTCAAGGGCCAAGGTGAAATGCATAAATAACTCCTGTGGACACACATAAGCAGTCAGGTTTCTGGACACTCACACTAAGGAGAGGTCAGGGCCAGCCTCAGCCACCATGGGTGTGAGGAGGTAGGAAATGAGGCTTCAGATTCAGAATACCCGTGTGCTAACTCCATCCTACATCTAACCAGTGGCATCCTCTTGGGGAAGTCCTAGCCCCTTACAAAGCACATTCACTGCAATGAGACTAATCATAGTCCTTGCTTTGTGGGTGGTTATGGGATCTTTGGAAAACATAAATAGACTGTCTTCTAACAAGCACAGGTTGCTGCTACTGTGGTTCCATGTACAGCAATATGCACTGAATCCATATATTATATTGAGGGAAGTATAGGCAAAGTCATTCATGACATTGAATCTAGGGGCATTTTCAATGATCAGTGCCAGTGGCAAAGCAAATGGAAGCAAAGATAAACAAGTGGGACTACATCAGATTAACAAGCATCTGCACCATAAGGGAAATGACCAGAATAAGAAGACGCCCCAGAAATTGGGAGGAAATATTTGCCCACCATTCATATGATAGAGGGTCAGTGTCTATGATATATAGAGAACTTGTAAAACTTCATAAGAAAAAATAATGCCATCTCCTGCCCCCGCGCCTGGCTGTCCTCACCGGGGCCCCTTGGAGGGGAGCAGGTTGAGTTTCCCTCCCCGCCCCGACCAGGGCTCCAGCAGCCAAAGACCTCCAGAACCAGCCACTACCATGCTGAGACCACTCTCCACACACATGAAGGTACCAGCAGAGGAACAAAGGCATGCGGGTCCCGGGGCTGAGATCTCCAAGCCTACTTGGATTGGGACTGAGCATTCTCCACCCAGATCCTCCAAATTCCAGTAGGCAGGGGTCACACCCACCAACTGGCCCCCTGGCGCCGTGTAATCCCATCAACAGCCAAGACCCAGAGACTATAAAACCCAGCTCCCGGAAGCATGTGGCTGCAAATGCAGCCATGGATCATCTTATTATCTCATCCCTACTTTGGAAAAACTGGCAGGCTACTGAATGTAACCTGCCCACACGGCAGAGTGTGGCAAACTCCCTGTGGCGTACCCAATATGCCAAATACCAGTAACAATGATGGGTCTCATTCTCCTAACTCTGAAAGAGCCTTGAATATGACACTTTTTAAAAATTCTCAGGGCTAGGATGAAGGAGACATTACTGGGGCCTGCTCGAGGCAATCGACGAATAACAGGATGGTCGTGATCGTGATCGTGATCATCAAAGACTGGGGAGAAGTGATGAACAGAAACTTCCTCAAAAAAGATATACAGTTGATAAGGTGATTGCCTTGCATGCAGCTGACCTAGATTAGATCCACAGGCACCCCATACTGTTCCAATTGATCCCTGAGCACCATTGAGTGTGACCCAGAAACAATATATATAATATGATAATTTTTTTATGTAGAAGTACTGCTATTTATTCAGCCACTGATTAGGCTGATTGAATTTTGCATGAACTCCACAATATGATAAATTTTATATATATACACATATATGATGGCTAATAGGTAAAAATATGTGCATCATTTATCATCAGGAAAATAAAATCAAAACAACAGTATACAAGATATCATCTCACATCAGTGAGACTGGCATACAAAAGATAACAAAAACTTAACCACTATTGACTTGGATATGGGGGAAAAGGACTCCCTTTTCATTGTTCTGGTTTTTGGGCCACACCTGGTCAGGGATAACTCCTGGCTCTGGACTCCAGAATCACTCCTGGTGGGCTCAGGGACCATATGGAATGCTGGGAATTGAACCAGGGTTGACTACATTCAAGGTAAGGATTTTATCCATTGTACTATCTAGTCAACTGTGGAACCCTGTTTTTATGCTGCTGCTGATACCAAAAGGTTCAACCTTTTTTGGGAAACAATATGGGAACTTCTCAAAAAACTAAGAATGGCATTTCCATATGTTCCAGCAGTCCCACTTCTGAGTCTAAGAACTCTATTCAGAAATGATATTTGTACTTTAATGTCTGTTGTAGCACTATTAACAATAGCCAAAATATGGAAAAAACACTTGTACATGAATGTACATGAACAGCTCTGTAGCACTGTCCTCCCATTGTTCATGAACAGATGATTTGAAAAAGAAACTATGGTATATACTTAATGGACTTCTACTGACTTTAAGTAAAGATGAGCTCATGCAATTTCCCACTACATGAATGGAACTGGGGCAGCTGTGAATGAAGTCAGCCATAAGGAGGAAAAAACAGACACAGAATGATTTCTCTCATATGTGGAATATAACAAAGCATAACAAGAGAATGACAAAATGCCAAAGGCAACAGAACCTGCGAGCTGGTCTACACAACTGGACTCTCCATGGCAGGGAGACTAGCTGGGGCCAGGGGGATTTGAAGGGCAGACCCCTAGACACTGGTGGCTGGAAGCCAGCACTCCAGTGGAGAGAGTGGTACTGCAATGCTGTATTTATGAAACCCTGCCATGTAACAGTCGTATAAATCATGATGTCTAAAATTTAAAAAAATTGAAAAACCTGTGACTGATTGTATAAAGCAGCCATTGTCTTTCATAACTGTCTTGGATTTGATTCTTTTAGAAGCGGGAAACAGCAGGAAATAATGGCCTTGCTGTTCTAGCCCTGCTGACTTGTGCTGGGTTGCAAGGCTGTCTGATTCACTGGGATTCTGTGTACAGCCTCACTAATTGGGTGTAATCAAGATGCTTCTGAAGAAATTCTAGAGACTGCATGGTGCTGTCCAGTCTGATTCATCAGCTCTCTGTGGAAAGTATAGTGCTGGAGCACAAAACAATTTTGGAGCCTTCTCAGCAGTGTGGGTAGTGGTATCAAAGGTTTTAGCTTATTTTGGGATTCCATGGTGTTTTGTTTGTTTGTTTGTTTGTTTGTCTGAGAGGGAAAGAGGAATCAGACTATTCCCTGAGATTTGTTTCTTAGAAGCATGGAAATGTACAACTTGGCACTTCCAAGCTCGTTAGAAAATTCATTGGGATAGTCACTGGACTACAGGTTTAAGTTTTCATACGTTGAAAAATAGAAAAATGCTCCTCTTCTTTCTAGAATTTTCATCTCATTGTGCATGCAACTTCTAATGCATCTGGCATTGTTTTCTTCTCTAAAACTTATTCATGATTTTTTGAGAAACGGTCATTTTTTGGAACACAGTCCATTCAAATTTCCACAACTTTCAAATGTTTAAGGCATAAGTTTTAGAAACCCAGTGGTTTGTTTGCGTATTCACATACAAAGGTTACAGAGACTGCTCTGGGTAGAGCTCTGTTAATTTCTGCAGTCAGTTAGCCTTCAGTAAAACCAAGTAGATGCTCTTAATTGGGATAAGTGTGTTAAATTACTCTTATAGAAACAAAGCCCACTTCATCTTTGAAATAAATTTCAATTCAGAAAGCATCTCTTGAATCCATACCATGTTCTGATGGCATGTATGATTATTTCACATAGTGAGGACAAATATATGTTTAAAATAGAGAGTTTTTTCCTTGGCAATAAAGGTTTCTCTAGGGTTCCCAAACATCTTTGGTGCTTTAGTTTGGAGAATGTCCTATTGTAGATGTTGCCCTGTGTTTGTAAAGGCGTCCCCATTCTTTACCCACTAAATACCAAGAGCAGTTAAAATCATGTCACTATTTATGTTTTCTGGAGGGCTCAATCACCTCTGGTTGGGAGGAACTAAAAGAATGTTCATGAAACTTGCCTGGCAGGGGAGATACCATGATCACCTAGGTGATTTTCCCAGAGTGATGCTTATCCTTTGCACTCTGGATGTGCTGACCGCTGCAGTTTCCCCAAATGTGGAAAACTCAGCTGCATAATATGTGGTAGTGGGGGACTGCATTCATACTCCCCTTTAAAAAAGAGTTCATGACCATTGGTTTCCAGCTAAGGAACTAATTTGGAAATGTTGTGAAGTTCTACAAATGACACTCCTCATTGTCTGTGCAAAGAATGAATGCTTGCACCTGATTGTACCATGCTATGCAGATATTTGAAGATTATGATGTGGAGAGAAAAAAAACTATTGTTGGGAAAAAACCCCTGAAAAATGGATTTAACACAGTGACTGAACTCAAAGTAACCTTTGGCTGTTTTACATCATGACTATCCTGTTATTCATTGATTGCCTTGAGCAGGCCCCGGTAACTTCTCCTTTGTCCTAGCCCTGAGATTTTTTAAAAAGTGCCATATTCAAGGCTCTTTCAGAGTTAGGAGAATGAGACCCATCATTGTTACTGGTATTTGGCATATTGGGTATGCCACAGGGAGTTTGCCAGACTCTGCCGTGTGAGCAGGTTACATTCGGTAGCCTGCCAGTTTGTCCAAAGTAGGAATGAGATAATAAGATGATCCATGGCTGCATTTGTGGCCACACGCTTCTGGGAGCTGGGTTTTATAATCTCTGGGTCTTGGCCGTTGATGGGATTACACGGTGCCAGGGGGCCAGTTGGTGGGTGTGACCCCTGCCTACTGGAATTTGGAGGATCTGGGTGGAGGATGCTCAGCCCTGATCGGAGCAGGCTTGGAGATCTCAGCCCCGGGACCCGCATGCCTTTGTTCCTCTGCTGGTACCTTTATGCGTGTGGAGAGTGGTCTCAGCATGGTGGTGGCTGGTTCTGGAGGTCTTTGGCTGCTGGAGCCCTGGTCGGGGCGGGGAGGGACACTCAACCCGCTCCCTCCAAGGGGCCTTTGCGAGGACAGCCAGGCGTGGGGGCAGCTGACCATTAGCACCTGCTCACCCTCTCTCGGGAGGGCCTGAGGCCTGACCCAGGCTGCGCCACCGAAACCCCGGCGGGATCCCCATGTCGAGAACGACCCCCCTACAACACAGCACCCCGGTGTGCGCGCGGCCTCCACCTCCGCTGCTGCTGGGCTGCGGCCGACAACCACCGCTGCCTCGTGGAGGAGGACACCGCTGACCGACCAGGGCCCTTCTCTGCGACCTTCGCTCCCGCACGCCTCGGCGCACCCCCGGCGCACCACCCCCCATTCACGAACCTTTTACATAAGGTACTGAAAATTCAACTGGCGATGTTTAAGTAATGGTGCTTGACTTTGAGTGTTGAGTGGAATCGCAGTCCCACCATTTATGTGGCTGTTTGACTTTAAATAAGCTGTCTTAGTTGTCTTAACTCTCATTTTCTCCATCTTTAAAATAAAAATATTTGCACTTAGTATTATTGCAAGAATTAAATAAGATATTGTCTAGTGGGTTTCCAATAGAGTAAGTTTAGATTTGGTAGTGAGTATGGTGAATTTGGTTTCCAACCCCACCAACAACCAAATTGTCCTTTGAAATCACCCGGATTCCCTTTTATTCCCAGTAGATTGTGAGCTTATTAAGTGCCAGGACTGTTTTTTTCTCTCCACAGTATCTCTAGCTTCTGTTGATGAGTCAAGCTCATAGTAGGGACTTGGAAAATGTTTGTGGCATGCAGGCATGCATTCCTGCCTGGATGCATGCATGCATGCATGAATGAATGAACGAATACACATGTCCCTCCTACATCTGTGATCTAGTTCTCCAGGCGTTCTGTCACCTCCTCTAACAACCCTCCCTGAAATAGTTCTCCCATCTTTCTGGGGTGCGAACCTTCTTCCTCTTCACATCTGTCACTTCAAGTGTAATTTTGCAAAATCTGGAAGAAAATATGTAATGAACTGCCTAGATTCTTTTCTTTCTGCATCCTTTTGTCTTTCTTTCTTTATTTCTTTCTTTCTTTCTTTCTTTCTTTCTTTCTTTCCTTCCTTCCTTCCTTCCTTCCTTCCTTCCTTCCTTCCTTCCTTCCTTCCTTTCAAGTAATGATACCCTGTATCACAGGGGCTTGCTTTGTAAATGAAAATTCATTGCAAAAAATAGCTGTTTATTCTACTGAGTATACTTAAGATTATGTTATCTCAAATATTAAAGGGAAGCAAATAGTACAACATGCTTGCTATTTCCATCCCTTAGTAGTTCTGCTTTGTTTTCCTTCCCAGTGTTCTGTCAGTTGCTTTAACAAGGGCAGTCATTGGGCATGTCAGAATCACCCCAATTTTATGTTTCACCAGGAACATTTTTTTTTTCATTTGGAATGAATGCTTTAATGAAGTTGTTTCTTTAACTGTTAAGTGGGAATAATGACACCTACTTGATAGGATTGCCCTATGGAAAGAGTCATTCATTGCAGTCAGAGGGCACAGATGTTGTCTCAGATGCTGTCTTAGAGATGCTCTGCTGTGGAAAACTGATAGAGGCAGAATGCAAAAAGCCAGGAGCTTGGTGGGCTCATGCATCATTAAATAGTTTCTTCTTTCAAAATTTTACAGAATCACCATGAAATATCATTAGTTTCATCGTTTGTCTTTTTTCCCTTTTCACTTTCAGTTCTGGCTATGCCCTTTCCTAGATCAGGGGCCTTATCTTTAGATAAGATGGTTGTGTGGAGTCATCTGTAAAGTGGACATAATATGCACTTCCCAGAGTAGCTAAAGGGATTGAATAGGACAACGCAGGGAAAGCATTTGACATTGAGCCTGCATGCCTAAATCCATGATAAACATAAGATGCTTTACTTAACAGCTCTAAAAATCATGGTTTCTTTTTGTCCATTTGGGCTGTTTCAAATTAATTCCTTTCCTACTGATTTCAGAGTAATGCCTGTTCCTTCCTTTCCATTCTTAACTTGACTCCATTCTCCAAAGGCCTTCTAAGAAGTGACATTGCATCTTTAAGACTCACTCTGAGCAATGAGCCCTTGAATTCCTCTTCACTTCTTTAGCCCATCTTCCTTCCTCTTCAGTTTTCGGTGTCTCCACCATGTGCTCTGGCATCTCACAATCTAGATGTCCCTATTCCAAGTGCCTTTGATTTTTTTCCATATTAGAATTTCCTGAGTCTGATCTGTAAACTTTGAAATCCAAGCCTGTGAGAATTGGTGTCAAGTAAGTTCATGAACCAAAGATACAGTAGGTCTCCAAGAAGTCTTTCCGGCTTGACCTTCATACCAACCATACAAACTCTGCTGAGTCCTTTGATAACTTCTTTCTGGTGCCCAAGAGCATGAGGTTGTGGGTTTTAGATAGGCTTTTGTTTACCTCATGCTGGAAATATGCTCTTGAGAAAGAGAAGCAAAGTTAGTAGTGTGTGGGCAACATCCATCTTTTCCCTCGCTGATAACAGAAGGGCATCTGTTTGAATGAAGAATGGGAAATTTAAGTCCTCTATCTTCACCCTTAGCACTGATAGTCCTGATGGTACTTTGTTCTGCAGCAGGTGGAGTTCCCTGCCCTGTGCTTTCGGTGCTCCAGGTGACAGGCATCTTTGGAGTTTGCTCTGAGGCTGATAAAACATGGCTGAGAATTGTAGCTAAGCTTTTTAAAGGGAATTTTTTTAGTTCACACTCGTAATTATAGAGCCAGTGTGCCTTTCTCTTGTGGATTGAGTAATTGTACATGAGGTAGGAGTGGGGGTGGGGGCAGGGGGTGGATTGGGGGGGGTAAGTGGGTGTGTGCTCTTATGTATACTCAAGTGGTCGACATATTCAAATGATGCCTTTTCCATTCTGGAGCCTTAGGTGTTGGTGAGATGAGCAGAGGGTAATTTACCACCAGATCAAGCCCTAATTTCATTGTCACCATTTTGGCATTTATATACCAGGCCTACTCTATTTGTGTCATTTAGAACTCTGGAACAAACTGTTCTCTAAATATTACTTAAAAAAATAACGTTGCACTTACTTCCACCTTCTTCTAAAATAAACTTCAAAGGCTTTGCTTCCGAGAACCATTTTTCTCCTACTAATATTTAAAGAGTCAAACCTCTGGTTTTCTTGGGGTTAAATCAAGTAGTATCTTCTATTACTCTACTCTTTATTACTTTCTTTCATTTAGGTGTTAACTTAGCAAAGTAACAGAAAAGAATCCTGTTTCAGATTCGCTGTTATAGTTCAGAACTTTGTAGGTAGCTATTAAAAACTAAGTGGTTTTAGTTATCAGACATATGCTAGAAAAATAGTAGATACTGAATGCATAAATTGGGGTTAGTGTAATGCTCTGGGAGTTGTGTAATGCTCAACAGGACCTGCAGAAAGAACTGGGCAGATTTGATTTAACCTGAATAGAACCTTAAGGCAAATTTGAACCAAGAAGAATGGCGATGGTTAAAAAACAAAAAACTACCCAGAAACTTTCCAGTAAACATGTAGATTTATATCAGCCTTCTTTTAAGAATATTGAAGCTCTCACATTTGAACCAGGCCACATACCTTCTGGTCCCTACTGGCCTCCAAAGCCCTATTTCTCTCTGACTTGGAGGCCGAAGGTAGTTGAAATACTGCACTTTCCCTGTGATGACCTGGAATCCCAGAGCTCTTATGTATTGTCAGTTGCTCACCTGTGTCCTGTCAGCCTGGGAAGGGCATATCATCTTGGCTCTTCATACTGAGAAAAAGGAGCCCGATGTGCTGGACTTAGACTCAGCTCTGCTCCCTGGTGAGGCTCAGCCTTTGTGACTGAATGGTTCCTCGGCTGTTGTGGTAGAGAACCGAGAGGGGAGAGATGAAGGGGGAAAAGACTAGAGTTGTGGGGCTGGAGGCTCCTGAGCGCAGTTGTAGTATTGGGGAACAAAATTCATCCTGTGTCCATTGCTTAAAACTGATGAAAGACAAATGAGGAGATTTGGAGAAAGTTCAGCGGCAGGAAATTGCCTTGCTGGCCCTGGGCTCAAGTCAGTCCCGACACTGCCCCAGGAGCTTGTTGTGACCCTGGGACCTGACACTGTCATCTCCAGTACACCACAACGACATGTATCAGACATGTATCTGAGTACCATAATTAAAGGGTGCAGACCCCCATGACCCCACCACTCAGTGTGC